AGCAATGCTTCTTGTGGGGTGAATTTTGAAAAAAATTTAAAATTATGAAAATTTTCAAAAAATCAAGAAATGCTGGAAATTGAACAAAATTGGCACAAAACAAGATATTTTTAAAAAATTTCACCTTCAAATTTTTTTAAAATGTTTTGGTTTTGTGCGTTTTTTATACAATTTCAGCATTTTTTGATTTCTCGAAAAATTTGAAACATTTTTCAAAACTCACCCCAAGCGATGACTGCCTGACTCGGTGAATGATACCCTCTGTGTGTCAGACGCAGCCTCTACATCACACGGTTCCTGCCAGGCTCGGTGTCTGCCTCATCCGGCCTCTACAGGACTTGTTCTCTGTTGACCGTGTCTCTGCCGGTCTCTTTCTTACTCACCCGTTTTCTTCCGGTCTCGGTCTGTGCCTTACGTGGTGTCTGCCCACACTGGCATGGCGAAGACGGCACGTCAGAGGCCGTGTCATACAGAGACAGATTCAGGCACAGGCCGCGTTCGTCAGACACAGTAGTTCAGAGACAGTCAGACTGGAACGGGTTCTGCCAGGTATTTGGTGTTCTGAATTTTGAAAATAAATTGAAAATTCTTAATATTTCCAAAAAATGTTGGAAATTATCCAAGAGGCGCACTAAACAAGAATTTTTTTGGTTTTGTGCGCTTTTTAGACAATTTCCAGCATTTTTTTATTTTTAGAAAATGATGACTGCCAGTCTCGGTGAATGACACCCTCTGTCTGTCAGACGCCTAAAGGGAGAAGACCTCTGGGATACGCAAAAAACTGCAAAACTGAGTTCGAGTGCTGGTAGTTATTTTTCCAGATGATTTATTGGGTGATATCACAAAATTCACAAATAAAAAACAGGAAAAAATTAGAGAAAATTATTCTAGGCAGAGAGACTGCTTAGAAACTTCAATCGATGAAATCAAAGCTCTAATTGGACTTTTATACTTAGACGGGTGCCTAAAATCCTCACACCTAAACGTCAGAGATTTATGGGATTCTGAACTTGGAGTGACGAGATGTGGAGTTACAATATCATATCGCCGTTTCCTGTTATTGATCACTGCTCTACGTTTTGATGACATTGACACGCGCAATGAACGCAAGGTGGTTGACCGATTAGCTCCAACAAGGCAGGCAGTTGAAAATTTCAATAATAGCTGTAAAAATGTTTACTCTATAAGTGAATATGCAACCCTAGACAAAATTCTGCAGCAATTCAGAAAAAGATGCATTTTCAGACAGTATATACCGAATAAGCCGACAAAATATGGCATAAAGATCTTTGCATTAGCAGATGCAAGGATATTTTACACTACGAAGATTGAACTATACGCAGGAAAACAACCAGAAGGACCATATAATATCTCCAATGATCATGGAAGCATTGTGAAAAGACTTATTGAGCCCATAGAAAATACAGGGCGCAACGTCACTATGGATAACTGGTTCTCATCGATTCCAATTGTCGAAGAACTCGAACGAAACTACAAAACTACAGTTGTTGCAACACTAAAGAAAATAAACCACAGATTCCTCCTGAATTTGTCGCCAAAAAGCAAACCGTCTTCAGTACACTTTTTGGATTCACAAAAAACTATATGCTATGTTCATAACTTCCCAAAAAATGTTCTTTTGATTTCTAGTATGCACGATACCCCTGATACCGGAGAAGCAAAAAACCTGAGATGATTTCTTCTACAGTTTGACCAAAGGGGGAGTAGACGTGATTGATAAAATGAAGGGAGAATATACCGTGGGGAGGAAAGGTTCGCGTTGGCCATTGACAGTATTTTATGGCCTACTTGACATAGCTGGAATAAACAGCCAGATTATTTTCAAAAATAATACGGAACAAATTGTCACTCATAGATTTTTTCTGAAGGAACTGATGAAGCAGTTTAGGCTCGATGCACACGAGCGAGTTATTTTCGCGAGCTCGCCGCGTCATTTTCTCGCGCGTTTTAGCAGTATATGTGAAGCAATGGAGCAATGCACACTATGGCGGTGACGCCGCGAGGACGCGGCGAGCAATTTGCGCTCGCCAACCACTGCTGCTTCGCAGCGAGTTCGCCGATCGCCGCGAAGCAGCAGACTG